ATCCTGCCTCCATCGTACGTGATCACAGCGCCCTCCAGAGCCAATGAAATTGTACAGATGTTACGGTTAAAGTACTCAAATCGGCTTGAGTAGTTATTCCAGTTAGTAGGAATTTTTATTAGATGATACATGACATTAGATTATTATTTATGAACTTCAAAGTGTTACAGTATTTATTTAAAGAATTTTTTAAGATTTTTAAAAGATTATTTCTAATTTCTTAGGCAATCTTATGGTAAACAATTGGCTTTTCTCATTAGGCTAAAAGACATGCCGTAACATGAAACTCATGATCGTTTTATTTTCACTTCTGTGGTAAAATATATAGGCAGTTAGCTTTGTTTTCTGCTCCGTGAATTCAAAATTCTTCGATGGTAAGTCAGGAAATATTGCATCTATTTGCTATCAATTAATGTAATTTTAAGTTGAGTGCTTATGATAAAGTTATATCCGTTGACAAGCATATTTTGTAAAATGCAATAATTGTGTCATCTTTCAAAATTTGGATTTTTTTACGATGCTTGAAAAGCCAGTTCCAGATGTTTCTTCAGTTATGCGTTTATAAAGCGTGAGATCTACAAAATCGTAACAACAAACTGCGATCTTTCGTCAGATTTGAAATCAGAATTCGGACAGTGGTGTGTACAGTTCAGTTCATAACTATGAAATGAATTATTCTTGAAGAACCTTTATAATTTCTCCTTAATGTAAGTATTGGAAAAGATGTCAAAGTTAATTTATAATTTTTTTCTTCTATAGAATCTCTGCTAAGTATGAATTGAGTTAAATATTAATTTATCGTTAGCATCTTATTTGCAATTTTGTGCCGAAAATTTCTGGTTTTTTTACTCGGCGAGCGTTGGTTTTGATTTTCAGTTGTAACGAATAAACAGATAAAATCACGTACATATTACAAATGTACAATATTTTGCATGATGTATTTGCAACGAGAAATTTACTACTTCAAACTTTGATGTTTGGAATAAGTCTCTCTAAAACCATATAAATTTAATAAAAGCACTACTTGATGTGATATTTAAAAGGATATAATACAAAAAATAATACAAGCAGTATAACCGTATGTAACCAATCACCTTGTTTTTCTAATTCCACTCAAATATGTCCGACAGTGATATCTCTGAAAACAGTCAGGATTTGCAAAGTAAAGAAAGCCAGGCTTTGCAAAGTGAAGAAAGTCAGGACTCACAAACTGAAGAAAGTCAGTACTCACAAAATGAAGAAAGTCGGGACTCGCAAATGGAAGAAAGTCAGTACTCACAAAATGAAGAAAGTCAAGACTCACAAACTGAAGAAAATGAGGACTCTGAAACTGATGAAAGTAGTCTTTATTCACAAACTGAAATATGTAGTCTATACTCGCTAACTGATGAAAGTGGTCTGTGCTCGCCATCTGATTTATGTAGTGTGTACTCGCTAAGTCTGTATTCGCAAACTGAAGGAAGTCAGTACTCACTAACTGAAGATGAAAGTCAATACTTGCTAACTGAAGATGAATGTCAGGACTTGCTAACTGAAGATGAAAGTCAGGACTTGCTAACAAAATAAAAAAAGTCAGAATGCACAACCGGGAAAAAGTTACTATCCATGCAGCGAATGTAAGAAGAGTTTTAAATCTGAACGTGCACTTTCTCGTCATTTTCATGTTCATTCCAAAGAAAAGTTATGTCATATTTGCAATGAGGTATTTACTCAGAACCAAGCTTTAAGAAGGCATTTGTGGACTCATGTTAACAAGAAAACTTATATGTGTGTCATTTGTCATATGTATTTTAAAAACCAGCGGGCCCATAAAAGTCACCTCCGTATGCACAGAGGTGAAAAACATCATGTTTGTGGTGAATGTCTTCGGAGCTTTGCAAGAAAAAATGATCTTGCAAGACATGTGCTCATACACAAGGGAGAAAAACCTCACCAATGTGGCGTATGTGGTTCATATTTTAGAGGGAGAAACTCACTCGCTAATCACATGCTTGTTCACCGAGAAACCAAGCCATTTGGATGTCACCTTTGTAAAAAATTTTTCCGTCAGAAAAAAAATTTAAGACAACATTATCCAACACATATTAAGATGGAACCATATTTGTGTCAACTATGTGACATAGAATTTACTGAAGTTGGCAATCTTGCTGGTCATTATATGAAACATTCTGGGGAAAAGGTTTATAAGTGTGAGGATTGTAGTAAATTATACAAAAACAAAGTTGATTTCAACATACATAAAGCTGTACATATAGGAGAAAAACGCCATTTATGTAATGAGTGTGGAAAAGTTTATCGAACAAAAGAAGGAGTTATAAAGCATTTCCGTGTTCACTCTGAAGAAGAGCCTCATGAATGTAAGGTTTGTAAGAAATACTTCAAAGAGAAGAGAATCTTGGATAGGCATTGCTCGATGCATGCGAGAACAAAGACCTTTTCATGTGATTTTTGTAAGATGTGTTTTAAAGACATTAACCGTCTGGAAGATCATTATTCAATTCATTCTTGAGTAAAATATCATGTTTATCATGAATATTATATAATTGTTAGAGGGTAAAGGCAATTAATTTTTCACATATGGAATCAGCAATAGCAAATTTAGAAAAATGGTATGTATTATCCCATCGACCATTGGCAGAAATTTTGGTAATGGTCACCAATCATTACTGCAGAATTCTAAAGGACACAGTCATATTGCGCTACTTTGCTGGTTGATGGGATGATATGCAAGTTCTGAAAATTCTTATCCAAACTTGAGCATTCATGTAAAGTTATATACTCGAAAATTAAAGCATTTAACGTTAAAATTCCTCTTGCTGATCATTGTTTATTAAATGAAACAAGTTAAAAGTTCACATAAGATGTAACGTGATAAAAATATTTACATGCAATTCAATGCTTTATGTCAGTTTTTTGTTTTTGTTGTTTTGTTTGGCTAATCTTCTATAACTGGGGTAAGTTGGTGGCAAACTATTTTGGCCTTCAAAATTTGGTGAATTTTTTTTTGGCAGCAACGAGAGCTCCAAGATGTGATTTTTAAATGTAAACAGAATAGTATCTTTTAAGTTTTGCAGTAGTGAAATGCCATTGTTTTATGTAAACAGAATAGTAAAACTTAGTCTTTTCTATGTAATTCGTGATAAAATATTATAATAAAATAATAAATTGTATAACACTTTCCTCAAACTCCAAAATTGTTAAACAAGTAAATATATTCAAATTCACTAACAGCGGATGCATCATAAACTCACTAAAATATACAAGTTACTATCGTCGTGGAATTCAACACACTAAACAACTTTCGTTCAAAACTTTAAGCATTTTACATTTTTCGATTGCCATATACGAGAAACAAAACTTACAAAAAATAATAATAATTAACTGTCCCGGAAAACGTTAACTGAATAAAATTAAATGAAAATATTCATAAATTATAAACTTCACATCATCTGAAATCCAACATTCTCCCACCAACAGCTTAACCTCCTGCAAATATTAAACAGTAAAACTTTTAAAAACAGTATTTCAAAATTAAATTAAAAAGAAGAATCTTCTGGCTACACTAAACTGGCACTTATTACAAGCACTGAAATAAAGCTCTAGGTTTGCCACAGGAAAATTTACAGCCAGACACCACAACCAAATCAAAATCGCGCCAAATTGAAAACTCTCGCCAAGTTTGCCGCTCACCACGATTATGGAAGATTAATCTTTTCCTTTTTAATTATCTTATCTTAATCATAAAATCTAATACTAGTTTGAATTTTTCAAGTCTCGTAAGAAAATATGTTATGTACAAAATGTAATACTAATAAATTTGATATGTTCAAAGGATAAAAACTTAATTCTATTCTAAAAAATAATTAATTCTGTAATCAATAAAACTACAGAAGAGGTGGTTAAAATAATTGCTTATTTGAAGGAGGTGTAAATTTCGTGAAAAGAGAAAAGAAAATATCACTTAACATGACGGAATTGGTAAAAAAGTAATGAATTTTCTCTTCTGATCTCATTTTGGTTGATCTTTAGATTATGGTAACTTGGGGATTTTTTTGGCGAAAATTTGGCAACCAACACTCCTACAGCAACCCTTTATTTTTTTTTCTCGCCGCCATTTTGTCTTCACGAAGTAAAGACATGTTTCTTTTCTTTTTATCTACTGAACACTTCTTCCAACAATCTATTAGCCAATTACACTTATGCTAGAAATTTTATCAAACAAAACTGCTTAATCATGACAAATATCACTGCAAAATTGGGAAAAAAGTGCACAATACCATACTCCTTATGCGTTTTTCAAATAACACATACACATAAACCATGTACACGCGATTATTTTTACTTAAAAAAATCCAGAATACACAAAAATGGCATTGCGCACACTCATCACTATATCCAAGTACACTGCTTTTTTCTCATAAATTAGAAAATTTCACGAAATGCATGAAAATTTGTGAATCTTTAATCCGGTAAAAAGAACATTATGAAATTACCTATCGCGAAAAGTAATAAACATTTCCACATATAAAATTAATAAATATCCAAAAACTTTTTACCTCTAAATTATCTATTATATTAAAGGTCACCAAACGAATTCGTACTTCAACATTACAAATGGTTACAAATACTAGTGTCATATTCAATTATTCCATGCGGTTTTTCCACTGAAACGTACCAAATTCCTAAAACATTATTCAAAAATAAATTCAGAAAAATAAATTAATTCAAAAAATATTAAAATATAATAGCACATACATTAAATTAAAAAATTAGCTTACAATCCTAATTATTTAACTAAATCATTGCTAAGAATTCCCAATAAACCCAATGCTTTACTTCTACCTTACATTTGAATCAGCAAAAATAATATCCTCAAATAATTAAAAACTAACGTCCTAATCTTCTTCAGATCTTGCTTACATGGTGGATACCTTTTATTATGGATTCAATAAAATTATTTGAACGATTTTTTCTGTGAATTTTTCCTCCGCTAAATAAAAACTCACCCATACTCAAAGACTTTCATCAACCACGTCCCTTCCTTACACTTCGTTCAACAAAATGTTCATTTTCACCATATTTCTGCACCGCCATTCAAATTATCAGTAAATCCTTTCACACAATTCATTTCATTCCCACATTTTGGACATTAATATTATCCCAATAAACCACATCATGCACCATTCAACCAATTCTTTTGAATTATCACCAAACGCATTCAAAATCTAGAATTCACTTTAGACAGCGCATGCATCCCAAATTATTCAACTCTCTTCACACAACACCAGTGAAGCTTAATACCAATAATATACAGCCACAGATATTTTTCCAATTCCCCGATTAAAGAAACCGTAATTCGTCCATTAATATCAAGGCATAATCCCATGATCTCTCATTCCCTCACACAAATAATGCGTATTGGAACTGAGTACTGCTCACATTTAACGAAAGTCCCAGGAGTAACCTTTATCGCCTCCAAAAATGCGCCAAACTACCAGTCCCTTCTAAAGATCACCCTCGTTTTCTTTCCATCGTGCTTTATATGTATATATATTTATTCATGTAGGCTTTCCATAAACTTGTACAGTCAAAAGTCTTATCCGGACATGTCGGGACTTTGTCGATTCCGGATTATTGGTTTTCTGAATTATAGATTCATCAATTTAAATCTGGTAAGATGAGCAGAAATTTAATTAAAATATGAAACCGTAATTTATGAAAAGAGATATGATCTAAAGGGTATCAAAATTACAAAAGAAGCTTAATTTTATTTGTTTACTTTATTACCTGCGGCATGGGGTCAATATATGTCCCACCTAATTAATTTATTTTCTCAGTTAGCAATTCCGTTAGAATTTTCTAATCTTTAAAAATAATCTATTTTAGTTATTATTTTTCTCAGTAGTGTCACTATTATACCAGGGCTTCAGTTTATAAGCAAAAAATATTCAAATAGGATCACAAAAGTGTATCCGTGTATCTCGCATTTTACAATATTTTAAACATTTTGGTATACATTTAGGATATGTATGATTCTTTTTTATATTCGAAGAAATTTTATTTTCAAAAATCTTAATTGGATTCAATATTTTTTAAGATTAATTTTCCGGTTGAAATAAGTGGGTTAAAATTCTTCCCATCACACACTTGAATTTCCGCACAATAAATGGCAGCACTTACGATTATTTTTTCTTTTCTTTTTTGCATCTACCTTTTTTCGTGATTGCGGGCACTTTTACATCCGTTGTATGCTTTGATGTCCTAAAATGTCTAGAAATATTAATAACTCAGAAAGCTTTGGATCTTTTTGCTGATTGCCATCCGATCGACTCACATTCTTCAGATGTCCGTCTGATTCAGATGAAATTGAAATCCAAGAGAGAATAAATGAGGTTGAAGTTATGCTGAGAAGAAAGGAAAGTAGTTATAATTTGTTTTGCTTTTTAAAGACACGACCCATCTATTCGTGTGCTGCCATCTGCATGTGGCACTGTAATATAATCGGAAGTATCTACCCACAAATTTATGTCAAGAAAATATATAGACTTTTCAGTAGAGATGATTCAATTTATTGCATAAAATGGGAAGGATAAAGATATCCGTTTCTATCCTGTCTTGCTTGGAAAGGCAACTCAAATGAAGAAATTAAGAAAAGAACGAGATGGAAAAACAAAAAAAAAAGTACTGTACCCAAAAAGCATTATTTCATATAATAAGAATACGGGATATGTTGACTTATTTGATCAATTGAAAGGACTATATGAAATAGACAGTAAAAGCAAGAAATGGAGGCACAGGATATTTTTCTCCTTTTTACATGCGAGTATAGTAAACACATTTATTCTATTTAAGTTTGTTCGCAAACCCAATCATGATGTAAAAACAATGAAAGATTTTAGTCTCTCAGTTTTAGAAGGTCTAATGGCACTTGCAGGCAAGAAAGAGCTGAAAAATTAACTGAAATCCCCAGTTCAAATAAAAACTAAAAAACCGTTTGTACAACCAGAAAAGACTAAAAAATGTAAGTCACAAACCAAAGAGAAGGAGCAGCAGAAGATGTGCATATTGCAGCACATCAAAAGAAGAACGACGAACATTTTGGATGTGTGAAAATGTGAAGTGCCTCTATTCTTACAAAGAATGAAACAACATGTTTTTCAAAGTTTCATGAAAAATGACGTTTTTCAGTTTTAATCATATATAAATGTTTGAATCAATTCCAATTTTAATATTTTATTTGTATCATTTGTTCGTGTATCAAATTTTAATCTAAAATAATATTCAAGAAAATTTTCTTTGTTCTTAAATTTAAATATTAAATATATATGCAAAATGTGCATATTCAAAATTTTTACAAGTCATGCATATATATGCAATAGTACAAAATGCATTTTGTGTTTATTTAAATTTTAGAATGCACGCTTTATTTTGTTTATTCATTCACATATGATTTTTTTTCCCTGCTATACACCATATGCTATAAGACATGTCTAGTTGCATGGTGGGACAATGGTATCCACACCTCCCCCGTAAAAAAAAAAGCGCAAGAATTTTTTTCAAGCCTTAAAGGCACTTAAGTAAGTCCATCTGACTTATTCTAAGGCATTTTTTTAAAGATTAAAATATATTTTAAATATGCGTGTCGCAAAGGGTTAAACATTTCTTTCAATGCGCGCATGCGTAAAGCATACATTACCCATAGTTGAAATTAGAAAACTGCAACAAGAAACTATTTGATGTGTATTCGTGATATTTATAATGGCGAGGAATTTGATTTAAATCATATCAAAGATGGAGTACATCGAGATGAAATACTACATCTAGTAAGGAATTATAAGCTTAATAAAATAAAAACATCTGCCCTAAAGATAAGGATAGTGCTGACAGATCAACTTCCAGTTTATTGTGTGCCGCGACGTCACCCCCCGCAGAGCAGTGTGAAATTGATAAACAGATTTCGGAATGGTTAGAGAAACGAAGGATATGCCTTTATCCAATTTTTTGCAGCAATTCTACTTTTTGTTTGATGGACATCGAAACATGCTTTCAATTTGTAGATCCTTTGGCATCTCCAGAATCAGAAATTCTTTTTGACATAATCGAAAGTTCAAGCGTTACTTTTATAAAATTGCTCTAACAGTCTGCAAAAAAATAATAAGCCAGATCCAATTAGAAGATTAAGGAACAATGCAATCTGCAACATTAACTGAAATAGATAATTAGATAATTTTGGCTTAGCTTATACCGTCCGTTATACATTAAATGTGCATGAGTAAAGGTATTATGCGCATGCGCAGAAAGTTTGTAGCTTTGAGGTCCGGATTATGGACGTCCGCATTAAAGACTTTTGACTGTATATGGTTATGGAGACCCGTCATGACATAAATTTATATAATAATATTACATAATTCAGAGTGTGATTAAAATCAAAATACTTGGGCTAATCTTTGGAATATGGTAACAGGTAGTTTGGCGACATTTTGGTAAGGTGATAAAGGTTACTGTCTAGGACTTTAGCAGTGTACATGGATAAAATCAAGAGTGTGCGCAATGCGTTTTTGTGCAATTCTGGATTTTTTTAAGTGAAAATAGTTGACGTGGTACATGGATACCGTGTATGTGCAATTCTTAAAAACACGGCAAGCTTTGCGATTCTGCACTTCTTTCTCCCAATTTCGCACATATCTTCGTCATGATAAGCCCTTTTGTTCCCTAAAAGTTTAGCATAAGCATAATTCGGCTAGCAAATTGTTGGAAAAAAACGTTGAGTAAAAAAAAAAAAAAAAAAAGCCTTTACTTCGTGAAAACAAAATGGCATCCAAACAAAAACTAGCAGGTTGCTGTATCAGGGTTGGTCGCCAAGTTACCATAATCCAAAGATTAACCAATACTTGTAATAATTGAAGTCACTATTTCATTCTTACAAACAAAGAATTATTAATTAAAGGATTATTAGTTAGCCATATGTGAATGTGATATTTGTGACTTGCATTTTCTAGAAAAGTGTATTTTATGTATCGTTCTGAGGTCTTGTAGTCTTAAATATTATCTCTAACATTTTTTGTTCTATATCATTCATGTGATTCTGTATATGGTTTTATATATTTCATGTCCGTTAACGTGTGATTGTGTGTGTTTTTCTTTATTCAGTATGTAGTGTTGCATATTTCGTGTTCATTAACTTTTGCAATCAAAAAGCAAAAGTGTTATACCAAAATCTGTATCATAATCAAAGCATGAAAGATGAAGTAATCCGAGGAGTTATCATTTATTCAAAATGCGACTAAGCCCGTTAAATACTAACAGTTCATGCCAGATACAGTTTCTAATCTTTAAATATGTTGTCTATATAGGAGTTTTTGTTATTTTCTCCATGCTTTAGGCAAACAAAAACTAATACAGTACAAAGTCCGAAATCTGGACTTGTCGGGACTTTGTATAATAGATCATCAGTGTAAATCTAATAAGATGGCGTATAGAAATTATAAAATTAAAAAATATGAAATTGCGATTTATGAAGTAATGAAGTATTTATGATCTAAATGGAATCTTTGGATCTCTGAGTATCATCAACAAAATCTATTTTTAGCATAAGGAAAGAAATTTTTGGTAAATTTTTCCTCGTCAACGTTTTTTAGCGCAACTGAAATCTGTAATCATCGCCAAGCGTAATGTCAACATAAATGGTGACTGCAGTCCTTTATTATTCAAATACTAACATCGAAAAATTGTTTAGGTATCACTACCTGAGTCATTAATCAAGTTGTCATGTTTTGATAAATATGACAATGATGCTGTAATGAAAGGAAAGCATAATAAATAATGATTCTCCAGGTTTTTGTCAGATCAACGATGTATCTATGTGGAATGTTTGGGATTGGGATGCGTGCCAACCAAATACACAGTAACGGAGCCAATTTACTGATCGTAAAAATTTATGCTAAAATGATTGTTTCTTCAATAACAAGGTATTTTATTTAGTGTTGAGGTGAAATTAAGAATCGGGACTCTCCAGAAGTTTTATATGTAGAGGGGGAAATTAAATGCGCATGCAAAGCCTACGAGAAAAATTTTGTTTGTGGTTTTGAGGTCCGGATTTTAGATCATTCCGGAAAATGGACGTCCAGATTTCGGACTTTGTACTGTACTCCTTTGAAATTTCTTGATGAAAGCAACTACCTCTTTAGGCAGTTAGCTGTTGAGTACTCTGTCCTAATCCAGTGTCCAGTCTGGTTTTTAGTCCACAAGTATATGCTTAGTATACAAGTCTTTTTCCCCCATTTCTAAAGAAATAAAATTTCTGCAACCATTTTTTCCCTTAGGAGAAGCAGGCTCTTGCCAACCCTAATTGGCGCCATCGTGCAAATGTCTAGCACAGGGCCTTTTTGTAGTGACGATATTAAAGGGACATTACTTATGGTTAACATTTAAAATGAAGCATTATTAACATAACAATATTAAAAAAACCAAAAGAATTACATTTTATCTCTTGTCTAAATATTCAAACATTTTTGTGCTTTGTTAAAACCCACACTCAAATATATTTATTGAAGAATTATGCATACATTTATGTTATAAAAAGCCACCTAACTGGTATAGTGGTTAGCATTGCTGACTCCTGTGCCAAAGAGCCCGGGTTTGAATCCCGGAGAAGAACGTGGATGCTTGTAAATGTATATAGTGTCTGTGCGGCATGGGGGAACTCCAAATATGTGAGGCGAAAGTCCTCTCGAAAGGTTGGTGGTAGGGAAAGAGGGGTGGGAGATGCTCAGATCCGTCCCCCAGGATGCTTTTCATCAAAATTGGGGGGGGGGCATAAATTGAGCTGAATCACACTGTCATCTGTAAGGGGCTCAAGGCTGTTGCCAACAACAGGCGTATCTTGCGCTCCTTCTCACAAGGAATTTTGTGGACTTGGGCTGACTATAGATCAGACAAGTGAGCATTGGTCAACAACATGCTATAAAAACGTAACACTGCCAGCGAAGTGAAATACTAAACGCATTTGATACCAAATATATTTCTGAATACTATTTATTATCCTAGAATTAAAACCAAATTAATTTAGATATCTAATAAGTTTGCACTGAATAAATTGTTTTTCGCATTGTAGTTTATGACAAGGTTCAAACTGTAATTACAACAGGGAATGATTACAACAAATCACAAAAACTCCTCTAGGGCTGATTGATATCTAGGGATATATCCAAAATTCTTTTCTGCACACGCTATGTTGTTGACAACACTATAGCGTAGTTTCAACCGGTGATACTACATATCCTCCAAAAGTTGCAATTCATGTATAAGATTTATACTATTTATATCGCTTTGATTTTTATCAGTTAATGCTTTTTGCAGTTTTTGACATAAGTTGAGCTTAAATAAGACAAGAATTTTCTTGTTCATACAGGCAGCGAGAATTTTAATGATTGCCCGCCACATTTTTGACTCGGCATGACCGAGCAAAAACCTATTGTCAGCACGGGCCTGAGGAAAAGAGAGAAAGTAGAGAAAGAATGGAGAAAATAGTGGAAGTCAAAAGTATCGAAGAAAGGAAAATTCTAGAAGCAAAGTTGCCAAATAATGATTTGCTAAATGGAACATTTTTTTCTTTAGGTTGTGTGTCATCTCAAATTTGTTTGACTTTTATCGGTGCTAAAATTTGTGTGAGAAATCATATGCTTTTTTTTATCTTCCCTAAAAGAAATACTTTTTGGTCAGTTTTACCTATAAACATTTCCCCTTCTGTTTTCCTAATAATTCTTATTCAAAATCTTTAGATTCCAAATAAATAACTGAAAGCTTTAGAGTGATCTTGCAGTCTAAAATGTGAATCGGAGATTTTCTGCTGATGATTTCCATGATGAAAAATACTTCTACTTTTTATTAACACATTATGAGCAGTCCGATATCATGAGCGGCTAGCTCATGATATCGGACAGTGCTGCATAGCGGGCTAATTTGCCAGCTAAGCGAAATATATGCATGTGAAAATAAACTTGATAGACTTAAAAGTAATGGTTAGATTTTTGCAAAATTTGGTAATGGGTCATATCTGGAACTATATTTTATATACATTAATTTTATATTTTTATATTTGATAAGTATATTTCAGAATTCATGAGATTATGCAGGACTCACTTGTTTTATAAAATTACAATATTACTGTTGAATTTCTTATGAACAAAATTATACAAAAAAAAAACAAATACAATAAACATTTAAAAAATATAAAGCCATTAGAATTATAGGCTGTTGTTCCTAATTCAATGGGAGCAAAATAAAATAGCCCGATAATATATACATAGGCTAAAGTGCAGAATCGCCCACTTATTTGTTTGGCGCTTTTTACAAGAGTAAGAAGAACTGGATTTTTGTCAATTTTCTATGTCTTTTTAAGTGAAAATTGGTCGATGTGTACATGGATAAAGTCAAGAAAGTGCGCTATGTCTAGTTTGTGCAATTCTCTGATGTTTTTTAAGTGAAATTAGGTTGATGTGTACATGGATACCGAGTACGTGCAATTCTTAAAAACGTGCCAAGCAGTGGGCGATTCTGCACTTTCTCCCATATGTAAGAAAAAGTATGCAAGCAAATATAGTTTATTTAAATTTTTAAATAGTTACAAATATGTATACAATATATATATGTGGGAATTTTAAACGATAAACAAATTAATTAACGAAAGACATTTTAATTACACAAACGATTATTACATAAATTTAACATTTAAGAGAATTAAACAAGTAATGATTCGTCAAAGTTCTTTTTGAACAGAAGCAGCGTCTCTGCTCCCACGTCAATCGTCTATCATCTCAAAACGGTAATTCCCCTAATTTTTGCTTGGCGCCTTCGAAGCTCGTAGAGAGAATGACGTCACGGCATCTGGTTTTCATCACAGCTCCAAGCGATCGGCACTACATTTTCGGCCATCCGAGGGTGGACTGGCCCTCCAGGACACTGCAAAAAACAAACAAAAAAAACAAAGCAACAAGCAAGAATATACAATAACAGAAATAAGTATTCGTGAAAAATTTTAAGGCGCCGTCCATTTCTTGAGGAATTCGGCACATGTGGTGGTGCATATGCTCTGTAGGGCCCCTCATGGCACCCTTCCTTTATTACGTCATAGGTGTTGCCACCCTTAACTTTCATGATCTTATAAGGTCCAAAATACTTCGCTCTTAATTTTAAGTATGGTCCGAATTGAGTCCTTTTGATTGCCACTAAGTCACCAACTTTGTACGGCTGTGCTTGTCTTCTTTTGGCATTATATGTCTTTTTATTTTCCTGTTGGACTTGGAAAATTTGCCTCTTGGCTTGCTTTCGTAATTCTTCTCTTTGAGACTCGAATTGAGATTGAAACTCACTTTCTATCAGTTCTTTGAGCTGATCGGTGCCCTTACTGTTCATTTTAGTACCGAAGAGTAATTCGAACGGAGTGGGTGTTAATGCTTCTTTGATATGTTGAGTTAAGCGTTCTCTGAACTTCGTGTGTATGTTTATACCATTCGGTTGGTTTTTTTTAAGGACAGTTTCGCTAATACTGATATAATGACTTGGTTGATTCGTTCGACTTGTCCATTTGCTCTCGGCAGGCCTGTGGTGATTAGATGATGTTTAATATCTTCTTTAGCACAGTAGTCAGAAAACTCACTGGATGTGAAAGCCGTTCCTCTATCAGAAATGAATCTGACAAGGGCTTCCAAAAATGGCCTTCTGATTCTCTAACTTCGCTATCACCTCGGCTGAGGTCGTAGATTTTGTTGGATAAATCCAAGTAAATTTAGTAAAGGCGTCGACCACTACTAATAGGTGCTTGTAGTTTTTATGGGTACTTTCCAGAGGACCCAAGTGATCTATATGATAAGTATGCAACGGAATGTCCTCCTTGAATCGCGGATGTAAAAATCCTTCCTTTTTCCCTCCCTGCTTTGCGATTTATTAAGATGCAATGAACGCAATTCGCGATAACGTTTTCTATCTTCTGCCGAAGTTTGGGAATGAAATAGTATTCATCCAGGTGTTTCTCTGTATGTTTGATACCGGTGTGCCCTTTCTCGTGAGCATCTTTTATGATTTCAGTCTGCATACTTTCCGGTACGACTATCAATTCTTTACCGTCAATAAACTTGTATAGTACGCCATTTCTATTACAATAATTTTCATAACTTGAGGTTTTCAATAATTCCTTAATGGTTTTTATTTCAGTGTCATTTTCTTGGGCAAGTTTTAATTTAGGTAAGATATTTTCAACAGAAATACATAAGACGTTTACAGGAGCTCTACTTAGAGCATCTACATGTGGCATTCTAACACCTTTACGATGCTCTATAACATAATCGAATTCTTGTAACAACAGAGCCCAACGAGCAACACACGCGTCGCTAAATCTCTTTTTTCCATCGTCCGTTGAAATGCTGAACAGTCCGTCACTATCTTAAATGAAATTCCCAAAAGGTAAACACGGAACTTTTTCAGTGCTTCTACGATCGCGAGGACCTTCCAACTCGTAACTTGAGTACTTTTTCTCTGCATCAGAGGTTTTCCTACTCATAAAATAAGTGGGGTGAAAACTGCTATCACCTGGGGGTTTCTGCATTAGAATCGCCCCATATCCTTCTATACTGGCGTCTGTGTGTAGTTCGGTTTCATAATTAGGGTTATAAATTGCAAGTACAGGCTTCTCAGCTAGCGCTGATTTCAAACGATTGAATGCGATCTTTTGTTCTTCACCGAATTCGAACTTATTACCCTTTTTTAGCAGGTCGCTAAGTGGCTTGGCAATTATAGAGTATTTATTAATAAATTTTCTGAAATATCCTGTCAGCCCAAGAAAACTTTGGATCTGTTTTAAATTAGATGGTTCAGGGAAAATTTATAACAGCTTGCGTCTTCAAAGTGGATGGGAAAATTTTACCCTCTTCTATGACATGACCTAAAAAGTCAATTCGTTTCTTTAAGAATTGGGATTTTTTAAAATTTATTTCCAACCCGTATTCACTCGCTAGATTTAAAACTTGACTCAGCCTCTCGATTCCCTCTTCGTATGAGGCGGACAAAATGATGATATCGTCCATGTACGGCAAAACGATGCCATCGTTAACTAACGGTCGGAAAATGGTATTTATGAATCTCTGGAATACAGCTGGTGAGTTACAGAGTCCAAACGGCACTTTCAAAAAACTGGTACTGTCCTTCATGCGTAACAAATGATGTGTACTTCCGACTTTCCTTTTCGACGTCCACGTGAAAAAAGCCATTTTTTGAGATCAATAGTGCTGAAAACACGTGCTTCTTGAAGGCGGTCTAGGATATCCTCAATCAGGGGAAGGGGAAATCTATCCTTTACGACAACTTTGTTTAAACGACGATAATCAACGCAAACTCTTGGTGTCCCGTCTTTCTTTTTAACGATGACCAATGGGCTGGAATATTCCGAAGAACTCTGTTCTATAATTCCTGACTTTAGCCATTCGGATATTTGGGTTTCAACAATTTTCTTTTCCGCAAACGGTAATCTACGCGGTTGATGCGATACTGGTTCGTTATTTTTAACGCAAAATTTTTAACTGTATGTCCGTAGATTTGGTCTTACGTGGCATATAGTTCGAAACTAACTGTTTGAACAGTCTCTTTAAAGTAGTTTGGAACACTAGGTGCAATGTTTATTTCGTCTTCGTTACTAGCTAGGTCAACAGGTAAAACAGATACAATATTTACTTCCTCTACACTCTGTGACTTATTTTTTATGGTAACCCCATTTTCATTTATTAATATTTCACCTTTTAATATTACGTTTAAGCCTAAAATGGCTTCATGTGTCATCACATTGTTGTCTACAACACAAATATCTGCAGTACACTGGAAATCATTAATTTTAATATTACCTTTAAAGAAACCTAGAGGTTTTACTTGACATTTACCGAACCCACTCAGCGTTGAACTTACGGGCACGAGGCCTTCGATATTCAGTTTATCAAAAGTCGATCTACGTAACAAAGTAGTTTGACTTCCTGTGTCTATTAACGCGGTTACATATACATCATTAATTTTTACTTCTTTGGTCAACTTCGAGACTACATCAATATTCACGGTTGATACTTCTGGTTTCGAATTCGTATTTGAGCATTCGAAACTTCGGTGCCCAAATTCTTTACATTTAAAACACTTGACTCCCTTATCTTTATGAACACATTGTTTGGAAATATGACCGCTTTCACCGCAGTTGAAACAGGTTGTATTACGTTTAATTTCAGGAATTGTTCCTCGACTATCGGTTACGTTACGCTTTGTTTGGTTAACAGAATTTTTTTGAGTCATATTTATGTCTAGATTCAATTTTTTTGTTTACTTTCAGAATTTTGTTTTTGACGTTCGCGACTTTTCTTCATCATCACATATCTGTTGATAAAGCTTCAATTTGTTCTTAAAATCAGTTAATGTTTGTGACCCATACAAGCAAGATTTTTTAAACGCGGAGCCTGGTATACCATCTATAACATATCGTATTAAAGCAACATCTTCAATTTGACCATTTTTAGCAATTCTTTTCATATTTAAAAAAACTCATCAAATGTTTCATTGCTCTTCATTTTTTGTTTTTTGATAATAACTCATGCAGTTCGGCCGAATTGCAGCTGGACCGGAATTCATCAAGAATAGCATTCTTAAAAATTTGCCATGAGTTCAACTTTGGTTCACTAAGAACAAATAGTTTTGCTTTGCCTGTCATCAGGCGTTTAGCAAAAATCAG